CGGGGGGGACGTTTAGAAACGTCTACCCGCTCTGGCAGCGCACCCGTCCGGCCGTTTATATGTACATGAGCCGGAAGGGAAGTGGTTAAGCAAATATTTTTTATAAACCTAAGGCCTGTGGTAGAAGGAAAAAAAAAGAAGTGTCGCATGATCCCAGGGAGCGCGTACAGGCAGTGAATGTGAGGACCGTTTATAAACGGCCACCCGCTCCTGCACTGCTCCCTTCCGGCCATTTATGTACATGGGCCGGATGGGAAGTGGTTAAAGCAATCCACTGAGCTGGCCAGAACCAACTCTTGAGGGAATCTATGCCACATTTTCGCAGCTCTCACTGTGAACTTGCATGAAATGATTCGCTCATATGTAGTAAGCGTCTCTTTCACAAGGAAAAACTTGCCTAAAGGGTTCTATGTCCTCTGTAAAACTCTGCAAAATAGATTGGAGCTATAGAAATGATGGAAATATAATATGTAAATGCACATTTCGCTGTGGTAGGGAAATCTGTGCACGTGTGATTGTAACATGTTTGTACATGGTGACACGTGACATGCTGTGACTTGATGCACGATTTAATCAGTCGTTCTATTTGATCAATTTTGTTTTTTTACACCCACATTCACGCTTTTTTATCACACACCTGCAGACATCATTTTATTTTTCTTGCCACGTTCATTCCCGATTCATTCCAGTTTTATTTGTTTCACCTCACGGAAATTTACCCGTATTTATCAGTAATTATAGACCATTTATTTTGAACACATTTCATCCATACAGCGACGCATAAACACTTCATTTTTTTTAACACTTACTGTATACCTTGAAACCCATACACTTTTGTTTCCTTTCCATGTTTCTCCTGTTCAATGAATGGGCACACTTTTGGTAGTGAATATTCAAGAGCTTTCAAGGAGGTGAAGCAGCCTTGCCATAGCAACCAGACTGCAGGTAGCAGTTTGAGTCCAGCTGCCCCTGTAGGTCCCAGAAGGCTTGTATGAAGTGAAGACTTGTGAGCAGCAAGCATTTTGTCTCAGCACACTTGACAAAACAAAGACAATTCACTCCTCTGGTTTCATGCCACATTTTTTATTCATAAACAAGCTGTTGGCTGTAAAGACATGATAAAGCTGAGGCTCAGAGGAGGCCGACCAACATTTGAATGCAAAGCCTCAGCTGCTACAAATCCTTCCTATTATTTGTCTTTTTTTTTTTTTTTTTCTTTCCATTTTTGTCTTCTACTAAGCAAGCCGGATACCAACTAAAGATATGTGATAAAGTCTGATCAAGCCAAAGAAGTCTATTTGCATAAAAATTAAACAAAAAGTTGCAGTGTCAGAGGGAATCGGAAAAAGAGAAAGACGGAACAAGCGAACAAAGAGAAGCATGATACTCGGGTTTTTTATGTCTTATATTGCCATCACTTACAATTATGGAACCATTGTTTTATTTCCAGATCAAGTCCTGTAATAAGCTTCTTTTTTATTTATTGAGAACCCTTAGAGCAAAAGAAAACCTTACAGAAAGCTCTATTTCATTCAATTCTAATTTTGGAAGTAAAGTAAAAGAAATTATACAGCATTAGATAAGAAAAAAGTGCAGCGCTAGTGAAAATGACATATGACAGTTAAAATATCTCTCAACGCTCTAGCCTTCTTATAAATGAGTAAATAAATAGTGACTTGAGTAAACAAACAGCGAAAAAATTATATATGATATTATATTGGTGAAGAGCTCTATTCTGGCACTACAGTGATTTATTTATTTCAGGTACTTATATAGCGCTGTCAATTTACGCAGCGCTTTACATATATATTTTACATTCACATCAGTCCCTAACCCACAAGGGGTGTACAATCTAAAGGTCCCTAACTCACATTCATACATACACATACTAGGGACAATTTAGACAGGATACAATTAACCTACTGGCATGTCTTTTGGAGTGTGGGAGGAAACCAGAGTACCCGGAGGAAACCCACGCAGGCACAGGGAGAACATGCAAACTCCAGGCAGGTGGTGCCATGGCTGGGATTCGAACCAATGACCCTAGTACTGCCAGGTGGAAGTGCTAACCACTAAGTCACTGTACTGCCCAGAGATTTGAACCAACGACCCTAGTACTGCAAGGCGGAAGTGCTAACCACTAAGCCACTGCGCCACCCAGAGATTTGAACCAATGACCCTAGTACTGTCAGACGGAAGTGCTAACCACTAAGCCACTGTGCTGCCCAGAGATTTGAACCAACGACCCTAGTACTGCCAGGTGGAAGTGCTAACCACTAAGCCACTGTGCCACCCAGATAAACAGAGAAGCAAAAGTGAATAAGCAAAATATATTGGTGACAAATATATCTATATCGAACAAATCAACAAATATTGCAACTCAAAACAAAATCAAAGATCAATAATCAATTGTATCAAAAAAGTCCAAAAGATGTTCGTGACATCAAGTGATGGGTGAATCCGTGACAAATTCTTCCTTCTAGAGCACTCACCAGAAGCGCATATTAAATGCACATTAAAAGCAATGGTAACAAACTTCTCCAACAGGTCAGCCTTATCCACCGACGGGCACAGGTAAATGGAATGTACAGCTGTCATGCACCAGAAATAGGAGATATCTCCAACAGATCGCTCAATCCTCAGCATAAAAATTGCCCCACCTGTTCATGAAGGTCAACCATGAATGGCGTTTATTGAGTGGAGTGTGCAGTGGGGTGAAGGATTTGTGGTGGAGTGCTGGTGAGGGTGTAAACTCTATGTTCATCTACAGGAAAGAATGCAACCACAAGGAACTATCATCCTGACTGATGATACTCTGTTGGGGTCTGTCCCTCCTTCCCCACTGACACTTCACTGGAGGGCTTCGCCTGAGGTGTGCTGGAGTGCTGCAGGGTCCCAAGAACATTAATGACCTTTGCAGAGATACTGGGAGTATATTGGATGTTCAGGAAAGCCGCATTGAGAAAATGTTGGTGGCCCTTGCCGAACGTTTCTTTTGAAGATGCGAGTTGCCTAACTGTCCTAATGAGCCGTTGGCATTCATACTTTGTGAGTTCCTGACCTGCACTTGTATTTAGAGCAGGAGTTCTGACTTCTCTGACTTTAATGTTGATAAATGTAAGGTTCTGCATTTGGGGGCTAAGAATATGCATGCATCATACATACTAGGGGGGTACAACTGGGGGAATCAATGGTGGAGAAGGATCTGGGAGTTCTGGTAGATCACAAGATTAATAATGGCATGCAATGCCAAGATGCAGTTTCTAAGGTGAGCAAAATCCTCTCTTGTATTAAAAGAGGTATAGACTCCAGAGAGAGAGAGATATATTATCCCGGTACAAATCATTAGTAAGACATCATCTGGAATATGCAGTTCAGTTACAATTCGCAAAAGAACATTGGGGAACTGGAGAAAGTACAGAGAAGGGCAACCAAACTGATCTGGATTTGGTTCTTATGCTGAAAATTTTTATTACAAATTTCAGCACAAGAACCAAATCCAGATCAGGATTAGGTAGCAATTTTCACCTGTACGGGATTATTGAATCTGCAATGAATGCCTTTTTAGGCCCCTTTCACATGGACGTTCCGATCGGGTCTACCTGCCCATTTTACAGGTGGACCTAATCAGAACCTGTATTCTCCTCTATGGAGTGGTGGGTGTAAACGGACATGTGTCCGTTTACATCCACTGACATCCAATCTGATCCAAACCGCCAAAAAGAGACGGATGGGGATTCAATTCCACTTCTGTCCATCGGATTGGGTCAGATGGAAATGGACAGGTGGTCCATTTTCATCCGATCACCCATTGAGGAGAGCGAGATGCTCCGTGTCCACTCTGCAGCAGCGGACATGGACCTGTCATCCGCTTGCTCAGCAGGGATCAGTGGAGAGATCCCCCGTTGAGCAAACGGATCCAATAAATGGGTCCACCCATGTGAAAGGACCCTTTGAAAGCTGGTAGAGGGCATTTCTTTTCATCTGGGGTGGGGGTGGGGTTTTTTCTATTGGAATACCATGCAGCAAGTGTTTGGCTTGAATGGGTTGTGTAATTTTTTTTTTTTTTACTGTGTGGTAACATGACAATTGACCATGTTAAAGGAGAAGCAGGCCCAAAGCTCTTTTGGCCATACTTCTCCTATGGATAACAGAACAACAACATTTCATATGGGTACAGTGTTGCATGACCGCGCAATTGTCATTTAAAGTGAAAGAGCGCTGAATGCTGAAAATTGGCCTGGACAGGAAGGGGGTAAAAGTGTCCAGCAGGCAGGTGGTTAAGGCTACATTCAAAAGGCAGTTTATCTGTGGCAAGAGACAAGCAACTGGCAAGAATTGATAGATTCCTTCTGGTGTTTGTAAACTTGCACATACTGTATGCATACAGCAGCAGCTGACAGCGGCGGCTGACATGTTTTGCCAAATGTACAAATCAATGGTCGGTGCTGCCGTAGTTCATCTAACCACTTATCTGAGTTATCACATGCGAATAGACCCTCTGACTGACCCTGGATGCAACCAGTATTCCTCTTGGGTTGGGGGTTTCTATGGAGTTTTGGCTGTACACAAACTGGCTACAGCCAACTGGCCAATTTTATATGTGGCCAGAGCAGAAAGCGTTGCTGTGTGCAGAGTTGGTGTTTGGCCACCTCTAAATGCAGCCAACTATTTGTGGCTAAACTGTTGCAGGAATGTAATCTTGGGGTTTGTTCATTTAAATGCGTTCCAGATGCATTTCCGCATGTGTGTTTTTCAATGGCTTCGGTGCATTTTTCCCATCTTTTTTTATTCATCTTAAAGTGTTACTAAACCCACAACAGTAAAATCAGTCTGTATATGCAGTAAAGCATGCTTGTTATACTCACTGTGGAACCTAAGGGCTCAATTGTCTGCATTGTGTGAAAAGGCTGTTTGATCCTGTCCTCTCTGATCCTCCTCTTCTTCCTTTGACTCCTAAATATCTCCTGATAGAACATCGGTTTGGAGCCACTCTGCACATGCTCAGTTTGGTGTGTATTGCAAGAGAGGTTTTATTTTTGTCTTGGGAGAGTGCATGTGATCAGCACAACAATCCTCCTACAGCAGATTGTAAACTCCTCCTATTATTATTATTATACAGTATTTATATAGCGCCAGAAAGTTTGCTCAGCACTGTACAGAGTAGTGGGGGACAGTACATGAGACAATACAGTAGCAAAACAGTATACGAGGGGTTCGAGGGCCCTGCTCTTTCGAGCTTACAATCTAGGAGGGAGGGGATAGTGGTACAGGAGGAAGTGGCTGTGGGGGATGGGAGTGGTAGGAGGAGCGGAGGAGATCGGCTGTTAGGTGAGGGTGGGGTAGGCTTCCCTGAAGAGATGGGTTTTCAGGGTGCGCCTAAAGGTGAGGAGGGTAGGTGACAGTTTGATGGATTGGGGTAGTGAGTTCCAGAGGATGGGGGAAGTCCTGGAGAAGTCCTGCAGTCAGGCGTGGGAGGAGGAGACCAGGGAGCTAGTAAGTAGGAGGTCTTGTGAGGAGCGAAGAGTGTGGGTTGGGTGGTAATTGGGTATCAGGTCGGTGAGGTAGTTTACAAAGTTTAACCAGTGCTCTACTGGACACTGATAGAAGTCACAAGACTTCTCTAACTGCTGATGAGAAAAGGTATTTATCAGTTTATATTTACTAAAATAATTGCATTTCCATGTTCTGTGTACTGTGGGAGACCAGATATAGTGAATGTAGGGTCCTGGGTTCCATAACGTTTAAATAGGGATGTGCGTTACGGTACATTTTTGGTGTGTTCCAGTGCATTCCAGTGTACTTTTGATGCTTTTTGACTCATTCCAGTACACTTCAGTGCAAAAAAAATGCAGCATGTTCTACTTTTTTTTCTGCACTGGAACTGACAGCACTGGTGTGAACTAGGTCATATGACCTACAATACTGTCCATGCATTTTTTGATGCAGAAAAAAATGCACTGGACTGCTTCTGGTGTGAACCAGTCCTCAGACCCTGAATTCTTCTCTCCTCCTAGAAAGCTAATTGTGTTAGGCTGGCCATAGATGAGTCAATTTTTAAAATTAGCCAGCGGGCTGATAAAAAAAAATGAAAATGAGCGGATTCTCCCATCCACACAAGTTAGGTGAATGAAGAAATCTTTTCCACTGTGCTACTGTACTCTGACAGTGGGGACTACGGTTGGAATACACTGCCACTGATCAAAAGAAAATTTGTCAACATTCCTATTCAAAATTTCTGTCGAGTTGAATGGCCATAGATGGATGGAATTCTGCTGGTCCCTGATGAACCGGCCAAATTTCGATTTGTCTGTGGCCAGCTTGAGAATAAAAGCATTGTGTAAACCAAAATAAGCCCTGCTTGGCTCACATCACTTCTCGTTTTCCTCCCAGTCTGATTCTTGATGCAAAGAGGATTGACAATATTAAAGGATAAGTTCACCTTTTGGACAAAAATAATAAATGCACATTTTTTTGCAGGAAAAAAAATGTGCATTTATTATTTTTGTCCAAAGGAACCTGGAAAGCATTGCACCAGTGATCAGTAGATCACTGATGCTATGCAAGTCTCCTGCAGACCTGTCAGAATATCTGCTTGTCATACAGGGATGTACGGTCAAGCAGATATTCTGACAGGATGTACGAGCAAGCAGATATTCTGATGGGAAGCTTCACTGAACTACCATGGTGCTCCACAGCTCCGTGGTAGTTCGATGAAAACTACAAGCCCACAGCCACTAAGACTGCCGGGACTTGCAGTTCATTCATTCACAGAAGACCATGAATGAATGATGCGGCTGTGTGGGCGGAGCCACGTACCGCCACACTGTATTCAAATTTGAAAGACAATAGAATAGAAGTCTCCCCATACTATCTGTCGGGGGGGGGGGCTGCGGGTGGCGTCTGCGGATATGGGAACATGTGACATGTTCCACCCTAAAAATAGGTGGAACATGTAACATGTTCTAAAGGTGAACTTATCCTTTAACCACTTCAAACCCGGACACTTTTACCCCCTTCCTATCCAGGCCAATTTTCTGCTTTCAGTGCTGTCACACTTTGAATGACAATTGCGCGGTCATGCAACACTGTACCCATATGAATTTTTTAGCATTTTTTTGAGACAGATAAAGCTTTATTTTGGTGGTATTTATTCACCACTGGCATTTTTATTTTTTTTGCTATATAAATGAAATTGTCCAAACATTTTGAAAAAAAAAGTGTTTTTCTTATAACATTTTGCAAATAAATAATCTTTCTTCATAAATCTTAGTCAAAATGTATTCAGCTATCGTTTTACTAAAAAAAAAATAACCCAATTTTTTTTTTACATTTTTATTTTATTTTTTTATATTATTATTTATGTTTTTTTTTAACATACTGTCACCCTAGCAGTACAGTATCACCATAGTGACACTGTACTACTTGTGGGGGGGGGGGGGGGGTGATTTTTTTTCTTCTTTTTACACTGATTGTTTTTACACCCATAAAGGCTGTAAAATCAATCATTTCACCTTCTCTCTAGCTGCATTCTTGCAGCCATTGAGAAATACTGTGGGAGCTGTGATTGGTCACAGCTTGTCACATGGTACAAGGCTGTTGTGAATAGCCTTGTACCATGTGATCTCTGTGATCATTCACAGATTTCACACGTAGTAAGCAATGATGTCAGAAGCAGGGGCGGACTGACAACTCATGGGGTCCCCGGGCAATAGGGGATCATGGGGCCCCTGTGTCCTTGCCCAAACTCAAAAAAAGCCTCAAAAAAGGTACCAGGGGCATCTCATGGGGCCCCCTACCGACCCTGGGCCCTCGGGCAGTGCCCGAGTGGCTAAATGGTCAGTCCGCCCCTGGTCAGAAGTTTCATGTTGCTTACTACTACTAATGTGAATCACATAAATCGGAACCTCACACAGAGGTCCCGTACAGCAATCCTCCGGACACAGCGGGCACAGGATCGCAGTGCTGTGCGCTCCCACAGAGCATGCATAGGCAGGGAAGTGGGAGGACGTTTATAAACGACCACCCGCTCCTGCACTGCTCCCAACCAGCCGTTTTATACATGGGCCAGGCGTGAAGTGGTTAAGCTAATAAAACACAAATTCATATACTTATACTAGCTATATTAGTATACTGTTAATTATTTTAATGGATGCCTAATTGGATTAAACTGTTTGTTTCTTCACTGGGAGTTCTACTTTACCTATTAGGTTGTATTTTGGATATATTATTCCTACATTTGAATTGTATATTAACCACAAGCCTACAGGGCACTTATACCCCTTTCCTGCCCAGGCCAATTTCCACCTTTCAGCGCTGTCACACTTTGAGTGACAATTGCGCAGTCATGCAACATTGTACCCATATGAAATTTTTATCATTTTTTTTGTGACAGATAGAGCTTTATTTTGGTGGTATTTAATCACCTCTGGGATTTTTATTTTTTCTTAAACAAACCAAAAACCACTGAAAATTTTGAAAAAAAAACAAATGTTTTTGTTATAAAATTTTGTTTTATCTTTGTGCGTTCTATGCATGAAGGTAAAAATCCTTCAGTGTGTAGCCCCCCCAAACACTTGATCCCTCTTTTAATTCAGCAATGTACACGAGAGCCTCGGTTCTCTGGAAACACTCACTCCTGACTGACTGAGAAAGCTGTGGAAGCCATTGGTCAATCACAGCCATTGACCCAATCAGGAGAGGGAAGGGACGGGGCTGAGCTGTGGCTTTGTGTGTGAATGGACACGCAGAGCAATGGCTTGGGAGTGCACCTGCTTGGGTGCCTCCATAGCAAGTTGTTTGCTATGGGTGCACCCGACAGGAGGGAGGAGCCAGGAGTGTCGGGTGGGGACAAGAGAAGAGTGTGAAACCACTGCACAGAGCAGGTAAGTATAACATGTTTGTTATTTTAAAGAAAAAAAAAAAACTTTCAGCTTGTTCAATTAACTTTTGGCCATAACACCTCAAAACTGATTTCTGTGCAGAGCTGCACCTGATTTTGCACTCTCCAGTTTTAGTAAATCACAAAGTTTATGCCACAAAGAAGTTAGTTTCACATAAAAAATTTTTCTCACATAAAGTTTCACTTGAGCCCACATCTCCTGTGCAACCATTTATGGACCAGCAATGTCCTGGACTTTAAGCGGTTATACCAGGATGATGCCTGCAGCTACAGGCATCATCTTGGTATTGTTTTTTTCACCTGGTGGTCAGCTTTCATGTAAAAGCAATGCTAGTGGTCAATAAGCCGTTGAATTGTTTTTATAAACAGTGGAAAGGGATAACCCCCCCCTCCTGCTACCTTCCACAGTTTTCTTGGGTGAGGTGATCAGAGACCAGAATGGCTCAGATCATCTCTATAGTCTCTATAGTCTAAGAAATCGGAAGCTACGAACATTTCATCACTTCAGTTTCTCAGGATATTGTGTTTTTGTGAATTAAAATTCTAAAAAGTGTATTTTTCCCAAAAGATTTCAACACCCAGCATTTTATTCTCTAGAGCCTCTGCGTTAAAAAAAATATACAATGTTTGGGGGTTCAAAAAAATCTTCTAGTAAGAAAACAGTTTTTTCATGTGAATAAAAGGTGTCAGAAAAGGCTTGGTCTTCAAGAGTGGGTGATGTGTGGCATAAGCTTCTAATGTTGGCCCTGAAATGCCAGGATAGTAGAAGTAACCCCTCAAAATGACCCCTTTTTGAAAAGTAGACACTCCAAGGTATTTGTTAAGAGGCATGATGAGTGTTTTACAGATATCATTTGTTGCCACGTTTCTGGAAAATGAAGAAAGAAAACAAAAATTTTTTTTGTTTTTCAAAACCCATGACAAAAATTATATCTGTAAAATATACTCAGCATGCCTCTTATCAAATTCCTTGGGGTGTCTACTTTCCAAAAAGGGGTCTTGGGGGGGGGGTGTTTGTACTATCCTGGCATTTTAGAGCCTCCGAAACTGTGATAGGGAGAGGGGGAGTGAAATGAGGAAATATGCCCTTTGAAAGCCTGGAGATGGCCATTGGATTTTGGGGGCTTGTATGTAGCTAGGCTGCCAAAAAGTCTCTCACATGTGGTATCCCCATACTCAGAAAATGTAAGAGAATGTGTTTTGGGATGTTATTCTACATATTCCCATGGCATGCATGAGCAATATATCATTAAAGTGACAACTTTGTGTAAAAGAAAAAATTGTCATATTCAAAAAATTTGTGGCAAAAAATAAAATGTTCCATAGACTCAACATGCCTCTCTGCAAAATACTTGGGGTGTCTACTTTACAAAAAAGGGTCATTTGGGGGGGTTTATACTGCCCTGAAGCACCTCAAGAAATGTGATAGGTCAGAAAGTAAAAAGCTACGTAAATTCCAATATATATACCATAGTTTGTAGAAGCTATAACTTTCACACAAGCCAAATAATATGCATGTATTGAGATTTTTTTTTTACAAAAAACATGTAGCAGAATACATTTTAGCTTATATTTAAGACTAACTTTGAGTTTAATGGATATTTTGTATTACCGAAAGGGAAAAATATTCTTTTTCAAAATGTTTGGTCTGTTTTTGTTCATAGCGCAAAAAAATAAAAACCGCAGAGGTGATCAAATACCACCAAAAGAAAGCTCTATTTTGTGTGAAAAAAGGACATATTTCTTTTGGTACAGCATTGCACAACTGCGCAATTACCAGTTGAAATAGCACAGTGCCGAACAGCAAAAAATGGCCTGGTCAGGAAGGGGGGTAAATCCTCTGGAGGGCAAGTGGTTAAAGCAGTGATGTGACTAAATTTGGATATACAAGGGAGAATGTCACCAGCACACTGATATGGATCCAAAAATTTTAATGAACGATCAGATAGTTACAGCAAGGCAACGTTTCTGAGTCTCGCAGGAACCCTTCATCAGGCATGGTCACATTCCTGATGAAGTGGTCCTGTGAGACTCAGAAACATTACCTTGCTGTAACTATGTGATCGTTCAATAAAACTTTTGGACCCATATGGGTGACCCTCGATGTGCTGCTGACATTTTCCCTTGCTGATTCTGTTCGGTTCCAGCCGACATTTGCTGCAGCACCCACTTATACACACAGCCTTTTTTAACACAGGAACGTGTGCGTTTGGATTGTACACTTGTAAATCTGGATATACCCCCTTTGATTAAGAAAGAAAATGAAGCTCCCACGCTTTTTTCAATACAAGCTGTGTGTATACAAATACTTATCTAATGAGGCATTAGCTTAGTAAACTCATTTTTCATGACGCATAAAAAAATGAAGTCCATTGCAATCTGTCTTTCTAGGTGGTAATATGTGCAGTGTGCAGGAATTCAAAGTTTGTGTTAAAATGACGCATCACAGCCCAAAGCTTTTCATCCAGTCAGGTCTATTTTAAATACTAGTGCATTTATACTGATTTCATCCATTGCAGCTAAAACTCTGTCAGTGACAGATGCAGTTCTGCATCAGAGGACAATGTATCAAAGCAGCTGTAGCTGCTCAATGTCTTTTTTTTGGGAACAGCTTGTGTACTCTTTCCACGACATGTCAGTATGATATAAAATATTGCTTTAACATGAATAAAAAATTAATATGCTAAAGTGTGAAGAAAAAGAGCTTTCTCTCACAAAATTAAAATACCATAAAGACTATTTCATTTTGGAATCAGTACTCTATGGGGTAGATTTACTAAAACTAATTCACCCAGAATCTGGCGCAGCTGTGCATGGTAGCCAATCAGCTTCTAACCTCAGCTTGTTCAGTTAAGCTTTAGCAACCATACCTGGAAGCTGATAGGTTTCTATGCAGAAGTGCACCAGATTCTGAGTGACCAGCTTTAGTAAATAAACCCTTGTGTATATGTGGATGAGTCTGAAGCTAGGTTCACACTGATGCGGTGCGGTACATCGCATGTGATTCGCACAGGAACCGCACTGCATTCCTGTGCAAATGACATGTGATTTGTGTGCGGTGCGATTGGAGCCATACATTATGTATGGCTCCAATAGCACTGCACCTGCACCAAAAAGATGCAGGACCCTTTTTTGGGTCCGCACTAGAATCGGATCGCATGGGTATTCACACCTATGCGATCCAATTCTGCACATCACACTGTGTTTTGCGGACCGGTTTCGGGGTGTTGTTAACTTAACATCATATGAACGGGGTGCGATTCTGATACGGTGCAGAATTCGCTCAGAAAATGCTGCGAATTCTGCATCGCATCGCATCAGTGTGAACCCAGCCTCAGTGGTTTAAATTTTACTGTACGTAGACTATTGCCCAAGTACAGACACATCGCTGTCAAAAGATAGATAAAGAGTTGTCTCAGATCTCAACAGGGTTTAGACATTGAACACCTCATTTACTCCCAGTTGACATGGTATCAAGAGGAGAAGCAGTCAACATGTTTTAATTCTGGGAAGAATGCCTATCCTCACTTCGATATTAAAGAAACTGGTAAAAATCTAGAATATCACGAAGAAAAACTCTGGCTTTTCACTTTTCTGAACAATGAGCAATGTCTAGGTCTATGTGACAGAAGGACAAGGTCTGGGCATCTGCCTCACCACAATGGACCCCTAAACCCCAGGGGGCCCTTCTGCAGCTGCACAGCCTGCACAAATTATATGCCCGCCTAAAGACTATACACTTCTTGATGCATATGTAGTGTGGTGGTCAGAATGCAAAGGTCTTAGAAAATGCTTAAAGGTTCTCAACCTCCATTGGTAGGCAGTAAATTGCATGTATCTGATTACAAATCTATCTATCTATCTATCTATCTATCTATCTATCTATCTATCTATCTATCTATCTATCTATCTATCTATATATGTATAGTATGTATATATGTTAAATTAGTTTTTGGTGATAACACTTTTGCACCTAATATAATGGTGGACATGACTGTTATAGTGATTTTCCAATAATGGATTGAGAAAGCTGTTTTCTGGTACCCTTGACATTGCATTTAGTCTCGTATTGCTGGTGGAAATAATAGCTTGTTGATTAACCCAACTTTTAGCACACATTCCTTTTTTTAAAAAAGATGACTTCTTCAAAAATACATATTGCTTTAAATCACCGTGCAAATAATATTACATATATGGTTAAAATAAAAAAACGAAATAAAGTTGATATCACTAAATCTATACTGCATTCAACACAAAATATCCCATATGTGCTATAATCTGAAAAAAATGCTGCTGCTTTAAATCTATAATAATCACATCACCTAAATCACCAGTACACCAAATGTAAGCAGCACAAATATGAATAAAGTGCTCAATTGCCATAACTTATATACAGAAATAATGTGAATAAATAAATGTGAAATCAATATATAAGTCCACCAAATAACTGTGTATATGGCTAAGTTCACTTTAATGCTTCCAGCGATGTCTGGAAGGTGTGGGATTAAAGATAAGTGGCAGGAGGCTATTTAAGCAATCATGTCATGCCGTGCGACCAACCCTTTGATAAAATCAGACGACGAAACGCGTCAGCGTTGGGCCACATGAGTACTGTTTACCACCGGCATCCACCTCATACTCCCCACCAGAAGTGATGTTCCACTTGCGGCCATTGAGGATGGTTGGGATAGGTGCTGTGATATACCACACCATTGCGGGATATTGATGTTGAGCATGCAATAACTATATCTTTGTGAGTTTGTTACTGGCTTTATATTGAATCTTATTTCCTTACCTGCGGTGGAGTGATTCTGATAGTGGATTACCTACTAGTATACGAGTGTTTGTTTACTGAACTGCACAGCAATTATGGACGAAGAACCATAGCTGTGATTTATATTCACCACAAGCGTTGCTGCTTATCAATGTTAGATAAGCCATAATATCTGGTGCGTGTCACTGGATTGGGGGAGATCTGTTTGTAGCATGTGGTGTCACTGAAGTGGAGTTTGCTGAATATTGACAGGCTTGGAAGGTCTATCCAATCACATGGTGGTTTGGCTGAAAAGAAGGACTTATGCACAGATATTTGGTGGACATGTTTTTGGCTCTCACTTTTATGATTTGAGCTTTTTTATGTATTTATTTATTCACATTATTTATGTATATATGTTGTAGCAACTAATCAGCTTCCAGGTTTTATTGCTAAAGCTTAATAGAACGAGCTGAAGTTAGAAGCTGATTGGCTGCCTTGCAGAGCTGTACCAGATTCTGAGTGCTCCAGTTTTAGTAAATCACCCCCTTAGTGTTTTTAAAATAAGCCCCATTTGTTAATGCTTATTTAGCAATGCAAATTCTATTCTATCAATTGTGCATATACAGTACAATACTTTTATGCATGCACATTTATATAGTTAAAACCACCTCCCACCCGCCATATAGTCCAATGACGGGCACAAGGTGGTTCTCTCGTATGACGTCCTCCCATTCTCACCACGCATGCTCGGCTCAGGGAGTGCGCAGAGTGGCGATCGGCGGTGCGCTGTGTCCCTCGGACACAGCGGATCACCAATCTACAGAAAGAGCCGAAGATGTCGGCTCGGTCATGTAATCAGCTGTGTCCAATCACAGCTGATCACATGTAAACAGGGAAATGCCGATTATCGGCATTTCTCTCCTCTCGAGCTGTCACACTGACAGAGGAGAGGAGAGCCGGTAATCGGCTTTCCGCGGAGGGGACATGTACACTGATCATCAGGGCACTGATGATCAGTGTGCCCTGATGATCAGTGTAGCCCCAGAAGTGCCACCTGTCAGTGTCCATCAGTGCCAGCTGCCAGTGCTGAACAGTGCCACATGCCAGTGCCACATCAATGCCACATATCAGTGCCTACCAGTGCACATCAATGCCACATATCAGTGCCCATCTGAGCTGCCTTTCGGTGTCACCCATCAGTGCCAGTCAGTGCCACCTATCAATACCAATCAGTGCCACCTATCAGTGCTGCCGATCAGTGTCACCTATCAGTGCCAGTCAGTGCTGCCTATCAGTGCTGCCTATCAGTGCCAGTCAGTGCTGCCTAACAGTGCCAGTCAGTGCCGCCTATCAGTGCCAGTCAGTGCCGCCTATCAGTGCCGCCTATCAGTGCCGCCTATCAGTGCTGCCTTTCAGTGCCCATCAGTGATGCCTGTCAATGCCCATCAGTGCCACCTACCAGTGCCTCCTCATCAGTGCCCATCCGTGCCACCTGTCAGTGTCCATCAGTGCAGCCTATCAGTGCCCATCACTGCAGCCTCATTAGCGCACATCAGTAAAGGAGAAAAATCACTTATTTACAAAATTTTACAACAAAAACTAAGAAAAAAATTTTTTTTTCAAAATTTTCTGTGGTTTTTGGTTTGTTTAAGAAAAAATAAAAAACCCAGAGGTGATTAAATACCACCAAAAGAAAGCTCTATCTTTCTAAAAAAATTATAAAAATTTCATATGGGTACAGTGTTGCATGACCGCGCAATTGTCATTCAAATGTGACAGTGCTGAGAGCTGGAAATTGGCCTGGGCAGGACGGGGGTATAAGTGCCCGGTAGGCAAGTGGTTAAACACAGGGGTGTCAAACTGCGGCCCTCCAGCTGTTGGGGAACTGCAAATCCCATGAGGCATTGCAGGACTGACAGTTGAAAGCATGAGTCCTAAAGGCAGAGGGAAGATGGGACTTGTAGTTTCTCAACAGCTGGAGGGCCACAGTTTGACACCTGTAGTTTAAAGGAAAAGTTCACCTTTTCGGGCAGAATTTCACTTTTCAGAATATATAGAAGCTTTTTCCAATGCCATTTCTGGCCCAGACATCCCAAAGTCATTTTGTCTCATTACCTGTTCCACAGGACATTTATTTTTTTGTCAGTTTATGTGAGATTTTGAATTGATTTTCAGATTACATCATTTACTCTCCATGGTCTCTCAGCATTCACTTCCAGTAGGCCATCTTCCAGAAGCCTTCACTTCCTTGTTGCCACACAGAAGAGGCTGTGATAGGGTGTGTTCACCACTCTGGACTGCACCTCCCTCATTACAATACTACCTTCCTCCCATCAGCTATGTAGTACAAGGTCCTGTCTGATTAGATACAAACTGAATAGATTGTTCAGGTGTGCCCTCCTATTCTATAGTTCTGGTAAATCAAAGGCCCCTTTCACACCAGTGTTCCATTGTTTTCATCAGTTCAGTCAGGTTTTTTCCAAGAAAAAACGTATCAGTTCACATTAGTTTTTCATCAGTTTACATCAGTTTTTCATCAGTTTACATCCGTTTTTCGTCTGTTTTTCATCCATTTTTGTCCATTTACTTTTGTTTTTCATTTGTTTATATCCGGTTTTTCCCCGTTTATATCCATTTACATCAGTTTTTGTCCATTTGCATTGGTTTTTGTCCATTTACATCCGTTTTTCATCCGGTCCATTTTTTTTTTAACAGAAGAAAAATAAGGTTTCAAAAAAACGGATGTGGACATTAACGGATGTAAACAGATGATCATCCGCTTACATCCGCAAGTCAATAGAAATACATGGGTGTCCGTTTTTCATCCGTAAACGGACAGATGAAAAACGGACATACGGAACACCCCTGTGAAAGGGGTCAAAAGGAAATTGTACGAAGATTGTACAATCAGATTGCATAGAGTATGGCCATCTTTATACAAGTACATAGGAGCAGGGCTTTTTTTCAGCAGGAATGTGGGAGAACGCAGTTCCGGCACCTCCAGCACTGAATGTATGTAATGGCAAGGGTTACTGGGGTGTGATGAAGGGTCTACTGATGCTGGCTGCTGAGGGATCTATTTTTGTTTGAGGAGATCTATTTTTGCAGGGGGAAGGGGGTGTCTATTGTTGCTGGGGAGGACTATTGTTGCTGGTGGGGATCTATTTTTGCTAAGGGTGGGTCTTATGTTGCTGGGTGGTTATTTGTTGCTAGGAGGGATCTCTTGTTGCTGGCTGCTGGGAGATCTGTTGTTACTCGTGGGGGTCTATTGTTGCTGGGGTGAATCTATTGTTGCTAGAGGGGTATTTTTTTGTTGTGGGGGGTCCATTGTTGATGAGTTGGTCTACTGTTGAGGGTGGGGTCTATTGATGCTGACTTTTGGGAGATATGTTGTTGCTGCTTGGAGTCAATTGTTGCTGGGGTGGATCTACTATTGTTGCTGGAGGGGTATTTTGTTATGGATGGTCCATTGTTGATGGGAGGGGTTACTGTTGCTGGGGGATCTATTACTGCAGTGTGCAGGAAATCTATTTGACTTTCCTTGCTATCATTACCAAATTCCATACAAATTACTTAGCACCACAAAATTTTACTTTTTTCTGTATTCTTTAAAAGCGGCAGTACTGGAGTTGGGTAGGGGAGGAATCAAGTAACGATGCTCAGAGCTGGGTAGGAGGCGGAGACAAGAGGTGACTTGCAGGGGAGTTCCTGTACCTATTCTTTGAGAAAAAAAAGGCCTGCATAGGAGGGAGTGGATGGAGACATTCAGTTGTCAGGCCCTTTTCACATCTCCACGTAGTGAAGACTCACATTACCGCATGCGTTTGTTTTGTGAATGGAGCCTCATTGTTCTCTGTAAATGCACCAATTTCACTTTCAGGCCCCGTTCTCACCGAGAGTAGAGGGAGCGCATATTTTTGTCTCCTTTTTCCAGTGACAAACATATGACAGACCATTGATTTCAATGGGCTGCGCTACCTGTGCCAAGTAGCTCATGGGACATTTTGGAGTGGTGCGTGTTGTACATTTTTTACTGCTCGTTTTGCTGCATTTGTAATTTTTCATGTGGCAAAATGTGTGCTTGTTTCTGTGTTTGGTGTGCCAAATGACACTGAAAGTGCAACTAGTTAATTTTAAGTGTATAAATGTGGCCATACACTATACAATCTGATTGTACAATCTTCTTTAGATTTACCAAATCTATATAATAGGAGGCCACAGCATCTATCCTATCACTCTATGTCCAATCAAGCAGGCCCTTGCCCTATATCAGAGGTGTCCCGTGAGCTGCATGTGGCCTGAGCTGTCTGAAGGGATGCTGGGGTAGCCAGGCAAATACACGTGGGGAGAGATTCTGGGAACGCTGTGAAAAAATAGTTGATGGGTGAAGAGTGTGTACTAATGGGGTCAGTGCAGGATGTGTGTGCTAATGAGATCAGTTGCTAATCTGCTTCCGGGGTCCTACTGGCTCCTCTGTCCTTTGTCTACATTCCAGCAATTGAAAAAAATGACCAAAGGCTAAGGTAAGGCCTTGCTCTCCAGATCAAAGAGAACGTGTATATCTTTGCAACTACATTAGTACATGGTATATTTGTGCATAGGGGAGCTGAGTTTTAGAAAAAAAAGTGAATTTAGCCTTTAACTATTACAAATTAGATTAACCTCTTGGCGCAGGACGCACACAAATGTGTGGCCTCCCAGCGTCTGGGCCTTGACGCTGAGAGGCCGCACATTTGCGTGCAATTAAGGAAAACATATGTGCTGAGAGCGTGCGCTCTGCGTGCTCCCAGCACACATGTCTCGTACTCACGGAAAGGTCCCGATCTCCTCTTGCGATCAGGACCTTTCCCGATCATGTGACCACTGTGACAGCGAATCATGGCAGTCACATGGCCCTCCTGGCTTCTGAAACCCTTAATGGCCAGGAGGTGCCAGTGCCAAGGGGTTAAACAAATTACAGTATTTTGCAATGTACTACAAGCAGCTGTAATTTAGAGCCCCACAAATTCATAATCTAATACATTATAAATGTACTTATTCCTTCATGTCTTTTAATCTTCAATGTACAGTTTAGTTTGGCTTTTAAAGCTTGCACAAAAGGCCAAGCAAAGTTGACACTTCTTAGGTTTTAGTCCTTATAACTTAATGCGGAACTAAACTCATTAAATCAACACTTGCTATTTTTAATCCTTTGAGCCTAGCCTTAGTAAATAAATAGAAAGGTATATTTACTTGTTCTAAACAGTTTTTCTACATTTTTTCAGTTACTTTCCAGTTTTCTCAGCTAAGCACACCCTCCTGCATGCAGGCCTGGGCTAAGGGCAGATGGATTCCAGGAAGTAAGAGATGAGACAGGAAGGAGCTTCTAAGTGCAGTATATCCAAGATCGCTTTAATAAGAATGGTTAAAAACACTTACAAGGTGACAGTGATAACAGGCTCTAAGTAATCCGTCAAAGCACGGGGCTCTATCCATTGTGTGGCAACCCACTGTACCAGCCAGCAGCTGCAGGGGGAGCTGGGGATGAGATGTAAGGATGGCTGCCGCTCTTCTGGGACCACTGGAACGTGCACTGGAACACACGCTGTCCAGAGGAACACAGACCGGAAACAACATGAGCGTAGAGCGGTGACACGTTTCAGAGCATGCACAGAGCTCCTTCTTCAAGACCGATCGGTGTTGCCCAGTGTATGTGTTCCAGCTCATCATCCATTATTGGCTGTCATCCCTCCATCCTCAGTCTCCTCCACTGATGCGCCCTGCTAATATCTCCTCTCATTCCAGGAAGTAAATATTACATTAATCTTCTGTCCTTACTCAAGTTGGCCACTGCCAGAAATGCTAGGGAGGTGTTTTCCAAAGTGATTTCTCAGCAAAATAAAGCAAGAAGACGTGGATGGATGGGGGAGTTTGCTTTGAATGATAAAAAATAATTAAACAGCGTTTTTGGTTTGTGCTGTTCAGATACAGTTTAGTTCCACTTTAATGCATTTTATTTCTGAAATAGGTGCATGAAACAAAATTACTTTTAACAATTTTCTCAATTCTCATTGTCAAAGTTTACAGTATGTGTGATTTAGTTGTGAATAAGCAAGATTGTCACCTGAGTGGTTGCCATGGGATGAAATGCAGCATGACCTGGAGTATTTATTGGTTTATGTTAACTTTGAATTCCAAATGATTTTATTTTTTTATGTTTAGGACTTGTAGAAACAATTATTTATTTTCTCAGAAGACCGTGGAGGTACACAGAACATATT